TTCAGCAGGAGACTGACAAGGTCTTATTTAATCTGTAAAGATAGTGTAGTTGGGGAAGGGGTGGGGGGGGGGACAGGAATGAAAGGGATACCAGTTAACAGGCAAAGTACTCCAGGAGAGAAAGAAATGTAGCTTTAGCTAGGATGCGAATAGTGAAGATGGAAAAAATGGCTGGCTTTGGGTGTTTTATAGGCAAGGAAAACGACTGACCATGGGGGAGGAGTTGAAACAAAGAAAGGCCTCAGGAATGACTCTTAAGGTTTTGGCCTGAGTAACCAGGTGTTTGGTGATAGTACTTACTGAGTTGAGGCCTGAGGTGAAGCTTAGTTTGGATGGATAAACAGAAACAAACAAGACATTGGCGTAGTTTGTTGGCAATACAGATGATTTCTCCATCTATAATTTTACTATCTAGTGGAGGTTGCTTTTTCTTTTGTGACTGACTCTTGGACCAAGTCACCATTAACCTTAACTTTGGATCCAGCTCTTTCTTTCCTGGATAGTCCCCCACGCAGCAAACAAGAGATGAGACAGTCATCTTCTCCTTAAATGCCACAGAGGTCATCTCAAGAAAGACCTAGAAGGTTGACATCTGTCTCTATTTTGGGAATGCCTACATGTTCCCAAAACTCAGCAAGTTTCAAATTCCACCAAATCCAACAGCCTTGCAGAAACTTGCAGAGTTATCAGTGTCACCACATAGATTGGGTAAGGAGGGATTTAATTGCTAGTCTATAGACTTTCCTGTCCAAACATTGGTCTCCTGGGGGGAAGGATTTTTTTTTTAATTATTATGACACCGTTTAGTTTTCCTCTGCCACAGAAATAGGCACAAGCTGATTGATATATTCCAGGGACTCAGATATGCATATCACATTACTGCAGCAGGGTTTCACTTTTTTTTTTTTTTTTAAAGTACTGGAGAAGTTTGATGGAGTCATATTCTTGGCTTCTCGTCCAGAGTTTCTATTGCCCAGGCATAGAAGAAACTCCCAGCTTTATAGTTCTGAATTCTCAAATAATGTCCGCTGATGTTCACTACTAGGCAATGATGAGAATCCTGAGGTGAACTGTTGGAACAGTTTGCCTGTGAGTGGTATGGTGATCACTTGATCATTGTGTTTAAAAAATACGAGTGTAAATTCCCTTCTACCTGGGCAGCACTTCCCAGTCCCTCCTACCTCTGCCCCTCTACAAAAGGTTCTGGATCTAAGATTAAAGGATAAAAACAAGCTGTATAATGGGAACTAGACTTATTGTGGTGATCATTTCATGACATCTATGAATATCGAATCGCTATATTGTGCACCCAAAACTAATATGTCAACTATATTTAAATTTAAGGGGAAAAAAAACAATTTGGAGTTAAAAAAAAAATTGAGAAAATTTTCACCAGATTAATGGCCACAAGTCACTTCAGAAAGTCACCTTCCCATTCCTTCTTTACCACCCAGCATGGGGGTGGGAGGGGTGGGCAGGGACTAAATACTCTGATTACATATTTTCCATTAATCCTGATTTTAGTCCCATATCTCATTCTCTACTTCCAACATACCTGGTATTGCAGAGTCCTGGATCTGTCTGAGATCTACAGGACAGATCAGTTCCCTTCTCCTCTATATCCCAGTCTACATTTTATTTTATTTTTTATTAAATGTTTTTATTTGTTTTTAGGAGAGAGAGAGAGCGAGCACATGCATACATGAGTGTGGTAGGGGCAGAGAGAGAGGGAGGCTGAGGATCCGAAGTGGGCTCTGTGCTGACAGCAGAGAGCCCATTGCAGGGCTCAAATTCACAAACCATGAGATCATGACCTGAGCCAAAGTCAGATGCTTAACTGACTGAGCCCCCACCCCCACCCCCAGTCTAGATTTTAGTAGAGGCAAACCCTAGGGTTCATGAGAGGTGGTGTGGTGGAGCAAAAAGGATACAGAACTATATTCTAGTCCCCTCCCTTCTACTGACTTGAACTTGGGAAAGTCAGACATTCTGCTTCAGTGGGAGAAGCTCCCCATCTCCTCACTCTCCCTTAAGCAAAGCAGCTGGGGCTATTTCATTCAGAGAGATGAGCCACAGGGATCCTTAAGGCAGAAAATCCTTGGGGACCCAGAAGGCCCCCGGAAGGGATCTATGCTGGCAGCCTTAAGTCATAAATAGCCATTCTGTGGCTATTAAGGGGCTGTGAACACAGTGTGCTTTATCATGATGGATGGTAGGCCTTGGCCCAACAGAGGCTGAATCCAGATGGGACCTTGGTGAAAGCTGTGGAGGGGACTATATAATCACTCTTCTCTTTAAGGAGTATCTTTGGCCTGACAGGATAAAGAACACACTGCTTCCCCAGGGGGTCAAGTTCACCATGAAGGCCAAGAGTTTGGTGGCTGCACCATATACATGCACCTGGGGGTTCTGGGATTAGATAAGACCAAAGAGCTAAATCCAGAGGTTAACAGTTTGTGCCTTGGGCTCAAATCTCCTTTTGTCTCATGGATTGGGTTCCACTGGAGCTGACTCCAACCAGAGATTATGGATTAGCGTGCGGTCTTTATTAGGGAGTGCACTAAGGAGCAACTCCTTTGGGGGGAGGGAAGGCAGAGGGAGCAGTTTGGCTGTGATTCGGTTATTGGAGGCTTTGGCAGACCCCGTGAGCAACTCTGAAGTTGGGGTGGCCACTCAGAGTTGGGGAAAAGGGGCCAAGCCTTTATATCCCCACATGGACCAGTCATTGGAGTTGAGCTACCTCAGGAATGACCTTGGGTATGGCTGCTCTTCAGCCAAAGACAATTCCTTGAGAGGGCCGACAGCTGAGATCCATGAACCTACAACCTTCCCAGGAGCTGGGGACTAAGTCCTTCAGTCTTCAGGAGGACTGGGTAGCACGGGGCAACATTTGTCACAGTGCACCCATTGCACGCCGATCCACCTGCTTCTTTTCAGTTCTGAGAGCAGGACCCCGGTGAGCATCTTTTCCTGTGGGAATCTTATGAAAGGAAGGTTAGCAGGACAAACCCCAGCTCCCCGTGTTGCTGCAGCTCATCTCCAGGCATAAGCAACATGCTCATCACCTCCCTCCTCTCCTGCCCATCCTAGATTCCTCTCACCTTTTGCTAGCACCTCTGGTGGTCTAGGTGGCTTATGTGGTGGGGTGGTTCGGACCTCCATCCCTGAGGAGTCTGAGCCACTTGTTGCCATGTATTTCTCGGGCTGTGGCTGCTTTTTTTGTCTGTTCACTGTCAAAATAGGGCAAGGGAGCACTAAGAGATACTCAGGTGGATCATGTGGGTGACAAACTGTTTCAATTTTCTCTGGTGAAAAATGGAACAATCTTAGTGCTTCCCTGTGCCCAAGGTGATGTATACACCTCCTCTACTGGGTATGGATGGGGTCCTCATTATCACCTAGACAACGGGGTCACCCAGCTCCGAAATTCCATCTTGGCGTCTACTCTTGCAGACCATCCCTGGTGCTAGCTGCTGCAGGTTGGGTGGGCTTTCCAGGAAACACTCTTGAGCTGCAAGGAGTTTATTGGGGAGTGCTCTTGGAAGCCACGCCCATGAGGGGAAGAAGGGGAAGCAGCATTAGGCAAAGGTGGCAATGCAGCCACAGAAGGACCTCAGTAGACCCCACAGGAGCTCTGGAGCTGGGATTGCCCTCCAGGGTTGCTCGAGCTGGACTGAGGGAGCCAGATTTTTACCCCACAGTGACCAGTCACTGGATGTTAGCTGCCCTGGGAAGGTGTAATCTTGGGCAGGGAGCTCAGCTGGAAGCAGGGGTGGGGTAGAGGAGCAGGAATAAATCCTTCAGTCCCGAAGGGGGATCTGGGCAGCACAGGATGGCATCCACAACCGTTTGTATCCTGCAGTTCCACCCATCGGTGTGATCTTGGTATCTGCCCTGAAGAGAGTTTTCAGCCTGGGATGGAGGGAAGGCAGATGGACACCCTATGTGCCAGGCGCCGATAGGCTCCCCTCCCTGAACCTCCGATGCTGACATGCTTTAGTTCCACAAACTCTCACTGTCCCCCTACTAATAGGAAAACAGAGGAAAAGGATGCATTTTATGACAGAGTTAATTTGGTGTCTGCATAGACACCTTGCCAGACTGTTTGGAGGAGGAAACTGGTGATCGATCACAAGAAGCCACCTGCTGGAGACTCCTTGAGGTTGAGAGTAAGAAAATGGATGACTGTTCTTTCCTTTTGTCCCAGCCTCTGCAAGGTGGGATTTATTGAATGAAAATCTGCCCTGGTTTACTGTCTGGGTAGAGCCACAGAAACAGCCCGGTAAACTGGGTTTACCATAGAAATCTTTGCACAGTGGCTGACATCTAATAAGTGCTTGATAACTATTGAAGACATGAATGTAAGGTGCATAGCTTCTCCGTTTTATCGGAGTGGGAATGAGGACAGGACCTACCTGATCACATTGCTTTCTGTTTCTTCTAGAATGTATTTTTGATAATTTACAGTTTTCTTAAATTATATCCACTTGATCTGCTCGTTAAATCTAAGTTCCAAAAGGATAGGGCCCTTGTTTGTCTTGCCGACTGTTGTGTCCCCAGCATCAGCACAAACCACAGAGCGGGCTTCCAGTAAATATTTGTCCTATGAACGAATGTGTGTGTGGGAGGAAAGAATTATTTTGGAAAAAAGAAGGAAGAATTAATTTCTCTCCTAATCGTGACTCATTTTTTTTCCCCCCTGAGCCACCCTTGGCCCCTCTTCTCATGCAAAACATTGATGAAAACAGTGCAGTTCCAAAACAGTTGGGACTATTGATGCAGCAATATTTAAAAATATCATTACTGGGAGTGCAGCAGGGGATTGTGTGATCTTATATGGGCTTCTAGTTAGGGTCTACCTGGGCCCCACAATTTCACAGCTTTGCCACACCCGCCTCTGTGCTTCCTCCATCCTCCCCACTTAGGTTGTTTTCCAAGAATGGATGATGAACCCACTGTGAGCCAGACACTGTGCTGCTCCCTGAACGAGTTTGTTCTCCGCCAAAACTTTCACTCACTCCTTTTTCCAAGTCCGCTGAGGCCTTGTGACCCCCACGGATGACCTACGTCTGCCCCCTGGCGGCCATCCCGAGGGGCAGCGCCGGAAATCTCCTGCCTCCCGGGGTCCCCCGGTCGCTGTGCGCCCCCTCCTCGCGGGTTCGAAACAGTTGGGAGTTGGACCCACTCCAGCTTCTGCTCCAGGAGGCCCCTCCTGAGCGGTCTGCCCTCCTGGGGCCATGGAGAAGGCCGCCCATAAAAGCAAAAAAGGTAACTGGGGAGTGGGGAGAGGGAGACGCCCTGGAGACAAAGCCTTCATTACTTTGCCTCCCCTGTAAAATGGGAACGTCACCCTCTTGGCCTGGGAGTTAGCCCCTCGCCATCATTTGTTTACCAAACTATAATTTACATACAGTAAGAGCCTCCCCCTCCCCCCCCCGCCCATTTTTAGTGTATAGCTCTGAGTTTTGACCAATGAATACCCACATATAACCACCACCACCAAGATGTGGAAGTTTCCCTCCCACACACGCTCCCTCCCCCGTCCCCGAATTACTTTGCTCCTCTTTGCCACCAGCCTGCACTTCAGTGCCTGACACTCCTGATCTGTTTCTATAGTTTTGCCCTTTCCACGGAGAGTGTCATAAAAGTGGAATCGTGTGGTATGGAGTCTTTTGAGTCTGCCTTCTTTCCCTTAACCCTGCTGTCTTTTGAGACTGGGTCTCCTATAGATTATTTTATCCTAAGCACAATGAAGTAGCAAGCTGAGGTTGGAACTCAGACCTTGTCTGAGATGCCACTTCTCTGTATGCTCAGGAGCTAGAGGCTGAAGGAGGGTCTGACCTGCTCCAAATGGCTCCCAGAATCCTGAAAAATCTCCGAATGTGGTACCTTCTTTATACTGGGTTACTTTACTTTCTATAGAGTCTCTGTGGTTTGGGGGAAGGTGAGGTTGGAGACAGCAAGGACACTTGCTTACAGGGAAGGGTCATGAACCTGGGGGTGGGGGGACAGGGGCACCCCTCCCTCAGCAGGCCTCTTGGGCCCCCCCAAAACACCACAGTCACATGGATTTTGCAAAGGCCTGTCACTTGTCCTTCAGGAAGAGCTGCTGAAAACAAATGTCCCCAGAAACTTCCTGTGTACTGAAAATGAGTCTTCTGAGAAGCTTCCTCTTAGGAAAGTAACTTGTGTTAAATCACTCCATAGTCTTTGAAACTTTTCTTGTGAGAATCAGTTCTGGAGAAAATATACTTCGGCACCCTTCCACCACCACCCATTTTCCCGGATTTTCCTCCCAAATGATCTTTCGCTACCATTTCCACTGACATCGCCATGGCATGCTTGGGTGACTCCAGTAACACTTTGATTTCCCACATCCACTCTGGATCCCGCAGTCTGTGCCCTGCACAGCAGCCAGCCGGGTTCATTTGTTTTGTTTAAGAAAATACAAATGTTACAGGGTCCCGCTTAAACTGCTCCTGAGCTTTTCCAGTGAGGTAAGCCTGTGAGGCCACGCCAGTCGGCTGTGACTTTGCTCCTCACGGCTGTGACTTTGCTCCTCACGAGTGCTCCAGTGCATCTCTGTTCCTTCCTCACAGCCTCAATCCAGTTTGCTCCCTCCCACCCTCCTTTGTCTCAAGATTTCCTGTTGGTCTTTTTGACCTCGATTCAAATTTTGCCTCCTGTATGAAGCCTGAACTGCCTTCCCCGCAGGATACCTTGGCCTCCTGGCAGTCCTCCTCAGAGCTCTCTGTATTTTTCCTTCATAGCATGTGTTACAGTTTGTTATTCAACATCTATTTATGTGACTGATTAGTATCTGTCTCTTCCACTAAGCTGCAGGATCCATAAGGGCAAGAAACTGCTATTTCTTAGCACACTGCCTGCATCAAGAAACATTTGTCAAGTGAATACATAATAACTGACATTAATTAAGCACTCAGCAGGTGCCAGGCACTGAGCAAAGCCCTCTGTCTCATTTATTCTCATAACAAGTCTCCAAGCTAGACACGTACTGTCCTCACTTTACTGATGAGGAAACTGAGAAATAAATAGGTTGAGGAACTGCCCCAGGGATCTGGCTTTAGAACCCCAGTGATACTGTCATGCTGCTGTCCAGGTGAAGGACTAAAAAATGTCCCCCTCTTTATATTAGGCAAAAACGTTGGCTTCAATGTCAAGTCATCCATACACAACTTGAGCAAAACTCAGCAGACCAAACTCACTGTGGGCAACCTGGGCTTAGGCCTGATCATCATCCAGAATGGGCCCTACCTCCAGATCACCCACCTCATCAGGACGGGGGCTGCAGCCACGGATGGAAAACTCCAGCCAGGTGACTCTGGTTCCCCCCCCCCCCCCCCCCCATCTGCCTTCGGGGAGACCCTGGTTAATAGGTTTTAGTGTAACCATAATAATGATGATGACATTGTTTGAGAGCTTTTTGTGGGCCAGCCAGTTGCTAGCACTTTAATAACCCTCGCTGTTTTATTTTTTCACTGAATTCTTACAGTAAGTCTCTAGGTAGGAACTATTGTCATCCCCCTTTCACAGGGGAGGAAACTGAGGCACAGAGATTGAGTTCCTTGTCTAGGTTCACCCCGCTCTGGCAAGTGGGATGGTGTCATTCCAGAGTTTATGCCTCTCTGTGGACAAACTTTTCTTCTGCTAGGTAAGCAGTATTAATCATTGTTAATGTTTAGAAGCATGATCTCATTTCATCCTCCTGACAATCCCTGAGGTAGATTCTGCATTAAACCACCGTATAGATAAGGAGTCAGATATTTAGTAAATTGCCCATTGTCACACCAGGGATCAGGGATTTGAACCCAATGTTAGACTTCAGAGCCCAAGGCCTTTGATCAACACTGCCCTGCTTCTCTTGTCTTTGGGAGAATGAATTTTCCATCCAGTTCAAGATGTGTTTTCCAGTGTCTGCTCCAGTTCTAGGGCTGTGCTCAGGAGTCAGGGAGGCACAATGGGATGGTAAGGTGGTGAGAAACAAGAATCATCTGGTTTTAGCTGGGCCTGAATTCAGTCAGGCCCAGGCTCTGTCACTTTCTAGTTCTGTGACCTTGGGCAGTCATTTGACCTTCTAGGCCTCAGTCACCTCATCTCTAAATTGGGATAAGAGCTACCTTCCTCAGAGGTTGCTAGGATTTGGAGAGATAAATTTTATGAAAGTCCTTTGAAAACGACAGTTCTATGGAAATACTGGCAATCATTTCTCTTAGGCTGCTCTTAGAGAGTTTCCTGACTTGTGGCTTTTCTTTCTTTTTTTCTTTAAATAAAAAATGATTGTGGTACAGGAGCCCCAGTGGATTAAATTACTGATTTATAATGCTACTTCCTAGAATCACCTTGGGAGCTTTTAAAACTGAGATGCCTAGGCCCCATCTCCCCAGAGGTGCTGATTCAATTGATAGGGGGCTGGGGACAGGGCAGTTCATGATTTAAAAGCTCCTCAGGTGATTCTAACTGCAGCTTGTGTTAGAAGCAGGGGATTAAAGAAGAAAATAGATAAATGATGCCATTATGAAAGTTTGCCCCCACCTTATAATCCAAAACATTCTCTCCAAATGTCAGTGCTTGGTGCTGGGGAAAAAAAGCACCAGGGAGACAGTTCCAGACCAAAAGAAGTCCAGCACAGGTTCCCATGAGCTTTTCCTCAGTTTCTCTGGGGTCAGGCAACAGAAGCTGATTCATAACCAGAGCACACACTCGCTGGAGTGGGACAGGAGTGTGCTTTTATGCACAGTAAACAGAACCTCATGGTGTGGCTATGGTTAGTGGGCTCCTGGAGGTCAGAGGCAGTCTTGAATTCATCTTTTAAATCCAGGATTTACCTTTAATGCTGGCACATATTATGTCTGTGCATTAGTAAATGAATAATAAATGTTTGCCACTGGCATTGTGCAAGGTGTTTCCACATCTATTATCTAATTTAGTCTTTACAAACTCCTGGAAGGTCGATAACACAATGTAGAGGGTTGGGGATGTAGTAACTTGGTCAATACACAGAGCTAAGTGGGTGGGCAGAGCTGGGACTTGAACCCATGTCTAGAGAGCCCACACTTTTGACTGGAAGTGGGATTTCAGTACCGGAGGAGTCCAGAGTCCCACATCTCTTCATGATGGGTCAGTGAGTTCTCTTCAGGCTCTTGGTTTTAAAGACCAGAATTCAGTCCTTTTAACAATGAATGAGATGTTCAGAGGTGATAGTCCCACAGACCTGCTATTTCTTCGACCCTGTTACCTCCCAGCCCCATTATTTCTCATCCACGTGTTTTACATTTTTCTCTTCTGGTGTTTCAAATTGGGTTTCATTTCCTATTGCATTTGCTAGTTTAGTTTAGTGTTTGTTTATTCTGGCTGAATTAAAATTCCTTTTGGCCAATATGGCTTTAAATAGACTGATATCTAGAGTCTTAAGAAATAGTATAGCTTTGAAGGTAAATACAAGTCATATACTGCTCACATTCATTCAATAAGCGTTTCCTGAATGCCTACTGTGTGCAGGTGTCCTGCTGGGCATGAGGGCATAATGGTAAGCCAAACAGATGTGGTCTCTAGCCACCTGGAGCTTGTGGAACTCAGAGCCTTGTCGGGAGAGATGGAGAAAAACAAATAAAAATCTAGTTTTCAGTAGTGGCTTGGCTGCTGCAAAGTTGATTTAATATAGGTAATCGAGACAAGGTTTATAATTATGTGGTTCCTACAGCCCATTAAAACAGGAAAAAAAAAAGTGTAATGGGGTTGGTATTCATAAATACCAGACTGATGTTTCTTTATGAAGGGCGATGTTAATATCTATTGCCAGAGTAATCACACTCATACAATGACACCTTTGGTTTACAGTCAGGATGGTCAGGGAATTAAGCTGTTTATTTTCTGCCCTCTTGATAAAAAACATCCTTCGACAACGTAATTAAGCAGAATGCCAAGCCATAGCTTTCAGCTATAAACGTTCCTTTTAACATCAGGCACGTAAACTCATCCAGTGAGGTGTTTGGTTTTGTTTTGCCATTGTAATTAACCTCTGTAGGATGAACAGCTGTTTCAGATGGCACACTCTGCAGGTGGCTGGGAGAAGCTTGTTTCATTCTGAAGTTAGCTGCAGATCCTAGGCTGGTTTTAGCATCAGCTACTTTGTAAGACCAAAGCAGGTTTTTCTTCACCCTTCCAAGTATTCATTTTCTTCAGTACTTTTAAACTTAAGTTCTTTTTAAACTGAAGTTTCTGATAGGATCTAGCACCATGAAAGTTTGTCCTTGGAGCCTTCCTTTGAGATCAGCATTAATTCCCAACTACAGCACGGTGGGGTGTAGTATCACAGAAGGCACTGCATCCTCTCTCCTCCTTGGAGGTTAGGCTTCTGCTGTCTGGGAATGAAGGTAACTGAGGGGTCCCTAGCTTCTCACGCACAGAGAAATGAACACATCCTTTGGGACTTGATTGGAGTCCCTTTATCCAGTGTTAGTGACAAAGTCTCCATTACCATTTGGCAGGCTGTTAGTTCTAGTAAGATCTGGAGACTAAGATTTTACCTAATGTGAGCCCTTAAGAAGTAATTTCTTTGTATTCCTTCCTCTCTTGCTGAATATCCTTGCAGTAGTCAGGATTCACTGCAGGCAATCGGAAACAGTGCCTGTGAAGGCACTGAACTTAGAACCTGGAGTCTGACAGAACTGCCAGAAAGGCTGGAGAACCAGGCTTGGAAAATGATGCCAGAACGCGGGGCCATGTAGAACTACCCCCGGAAACCGGGTGCTTCCATCACCCAGCGGCATCTCCTGCCCAGGTTCAGTGACCCGGGTGGGAGTGCCCGTGGCTGGATCTAGTTTACATGTCCATGCCCTAGGTGCTGGCGGCAGGGAGGTGGGCAAAGATATGCACTTAGGGGGTCCAGGGACTTGCTGTCAAGATGTGGTTTTCTTCCCATTTGCCAGGAGATTAGAAGCTCTATGGTTGACCATCACACTTCCCTTCCTGTCCAGCAATGCCCTAAAGTAGGAAGTCTAGCTTTCAAATCCCTTTATCCAACATACTCTCTATATACACATCTTAAGCTTAAAGCATGCTAAATGTCCATTGTTTCATGCAGAATTACTTGCTCGACTAATACCGCACAAGGCAGAAAATTAAAATGAAGGGCTTTATGTTAAATTTTTTTTTTTAACGTTTATTTATTTTTGAGACAGAGGGAGACAGAGCATGAATGGGGGAGGGTCAGAGGGAGAGGGAGACACAGAATCGGAAACAGGCTCCAGGCTCTGAGCCATCAGCACAGAGCCTGACGCGGGGCTCGAACTCACGAACTGTGAGATCATGACCTGAGCCGAAGTTGGACACTTAACCGACTGAGCCACCCAGGCGCCCCAGAAGGGCTTTATGTTAATAGAGTGGAGGGCACTGGAAATTGCCAGGCAGGTACAATAGCAAGTAGGTCATTTACTCAGTGTAAGTGGTTTTTTTTTAATAATAATGACTATTCATTTAATTCGAAACAAACATTTTTAGAATCCTAAAGGATGGTTCAGATTATAAACGATTTTTAGCCTCTTTCACACCAAGGACTAAAGAAATACCATAAAAACATGATATAATATCTTCTACACCGCTATTAAGAAACATCTTGCATGCATTCATTATGTGAAGGACACTCATGTCACCTAGTTGGTCACTTTTATTAAATAAAGGCTGGAGTCTGGTTGAACTCGTAAAATGGAATACCTCACAGTGCAGCCAGAAGTGGTATGAGCCCGATGACCCATTATCTTAATTTTACTGATAAATTTCTTTCCTTCTTCAGGTGATGTTCTGATTAGTGTTGGCCATGCCAATGTGTTAGGATATACTCTTCGAGAATTTTTAAAACTTTTGCAACACATCACCATAGGAACAGTGCTACAAATCAAGATTTACCGAGATTTTATTGACATACCCCAAGAATGGCAAGAAATACATGATTTAATCCCTGAGACCAAATTCCCGGTAACACGGTAAGTCGTTTATTTTAGGAAAACTTTGTTGTGCTACTGTTCCCCAGAGCCTGTGAAGCACGTGGTCTTGGTGAAACCGCTGCAGTAATTTAGTGGGTTTTTAAATCCTTTTGGAGAAGTACAATCTGCAGGACCTAATGTGAGGCAGATTGATAGAGGCGAGAGCCTTGAATCTGGAGCTAAAAAAAAAAAAAAAAAAAAAAAAAAAAAGAAGAGAGAGAGAAAGAGAGAGAACCATCTAATGGGAGCTCGGCCTCCAAATCTACCTGCAATGTGTCCCTTTGTCCAGAGTCAGCCTCAAACGTGCTGTGGATCCCACGCCCTCATTTGTCTCCTGGACATTCAGCTTTTCTGTGGATCCTTCTCAATAACATGTAAGGCTTTTGGGGCCTCTGCCTCTTTACAAACCCCACCTTGACTATGCTGCCCTCTCCCTGCCCCCGGCCACAGTCCTATCCCTTTGGCTCCAAACGTGCGTGAAGAGCTGTATCAGATGTGGCCATTTCCCCAGATGATTTCCCAGGTGCTCTCCTCCAATCTCAGTCCAGGCTTTGCTGTCTTCACTTGTCCAAGAGGCCTCTTTGCAGGGCCACTCACAGCCCTCAGGTTGATTCCAGCAGACTCTTCTCAAGTCGTCACTGTGTGTGGCTCCTGAGCAACATTCGACACTGTACAACTCCCACCCCCTCTTCTGTTGAAACGTCTTCCCCAGGCTTCAGCCTTGGAGTTCCCCAGCGCTCAATCTTTGGCTTCCTTCTCTCAATTTCCTGGGCACCCTCACTGATGCCTGTGGTTTCCGTCCCTCTCCCTACAGGACTGATTTTCAAATTGTACGACCTTCAAACTTGTATATTTAAACCCTTTCTCTCTCCCACTTGGTGGCTTCATTTGGATGTATCACAAACCCCTCACACTCGTTATGCCTAAAGATCAAGAGCCAGCTAACTGCTTATCTCCTTGGGGTGGTCCTATCTTACTGGGGGAGCATTTGCCTAGTTGAACAAGTCAGAAATTTAGAGGCTATGCTAGATTTCTCCATCTCCCTTGTTTCCACCCCATATAATCACAAAACTTGTCATTTTATCTTCCGACTCTCTCTCACATTTGTCCAGCTCTCTCTCTGGCCACTATCATCACCCCAGTCAGAGCCACCGTCTACTCTCTTCCCCTATTCATTTGCTACACAGAACAATCCCTTTACAGTGCAAATCTGAATGTGGCGTGTTCCCTGCTGAAAATCTTTTTAGACCTCCTGTTCTCAGGATAAATGCCCAAACCCTTACACTGGTCTATGCTACTGCATGTGGCTGGGGTCTGTATCCCGCATCCTCACCACATACTGCTGTCCTCTTCCCTCTCTAGTCCACTTTGCCTCTCAGCTTCTTTGTCTTATGTTTCTTTGCCTCGGACTTTACACTTGCCCTTCTCTGTGTACAACATGCCTAGGACTCTGTCATTACTCACCGTTGAAGGCTCATGGCGCAAAATTTTTCCAAGGGGCCTTCAAGTTAGGAAGTGTTAAAACACTGTCTGGTCCATCTGTCATATGCTTTCAGAGAAACCTGTGTATCTCCTTCACAGCATTTATCCTAATTTCAATGAAGTAATCTGTACAATCTATTGTTTACTATGTTGCCCTGGGAGAACGTAAACTGAAGGCAAGGACTAAGTCTGTGTTGTTAGGCTAAATCTACCACAGGACTTTCACATGGCTGAGGGCTCATTTATTCAGAGTGAATGAAAATTAAAATCTAGCTTTGAAGCTCAGGCAAATCGCTTAACCTCTGAGAGCTTGTTTATCTGTAACACAGGAGTACCAGAGACTCCTCTGAGGATCAGATATGTGAGGAAGTTCTGTAGAACATGAAGACATGTAGAACATGAGATCCTTCTTCAGTGACAAGTTCAGTGCTCTGATGCAAGAGTGGTCCTTATTAATTTGACAGATTTCTGAGCACTAGTTGTTACAGCTGTGTATCTTTGGTTATTGGGATGGGCTCAGGGAAAGCTGGCTAGGAACTTTACTAAGGACTAAAAAATGGGCCACACTGGATAGACATTACTTCAGATATTCCAACTTTTGGTCCAAGGGACTGATATGGCCAACAGATGTGCTTTGCTAGTCTCCCACAGCATTTTAAAAAGCCGGAATAGCAGTGACTGTAGAGAGAAGGAAGGATACGGAGGGGCTTTTTCCAAGGGCTAGCAAAGTGTTTGTAAGTTTTTTCATTTAACTAGGTTTCTTTTTTTTCATTTTTCTGTATATTTCAAAAATTTTAAATAAAAAACATTTGCATTAGTTGCCAAATTTACATATCTAAGATTCCATGGAAATTATCTGCATCTCTGGTTTCTCCTAAAAAATTAGAAGATGGGCTTTTGTCCTCACATGGTGACAGTGGACCAGAGCTGGGTACCAGTTGTCCCCTTAGATCAGACACAAATTAGGGACAAGTTTTTCCCCCAATAACCAAACCAATCATGACAGTTAAAAATCATTATGATGATAACAGTGAACACTTATTCATTGCTTACTATGTGGTGGACACTGCTTTACAAGTATTTTGCCATTTAATCCTCAGGTTAATTCCTTTTATTATCATGGTTACATAAGAAAACTGAGGCCAAGAAAGGTGTGTGTAAACTTGCCAGTGGTCACAGGACTAAGTGTGACTAGATCTGTCTCTAGAGCAACAATATCCAAGAACTTACTGCAGTGGTGTAAATGTTCTTGATCTGTTCTGATGTGGTGGCCACAGGCTACATGTGGCTGTTAAGAGCCTCAAATGTGAGGATTTGCAACTGAAGAATTTTAGGTTTTATTCAAGTTTAATCAATTCAAATTTAGCTGCCATACCTAGCTGGTGGGCCCTGTACTGGGGAGTGCAGCTCTCAAGGCTGAGTTCGTAATTACTTATTTATAGAACGACTATGTTGTTCACATTTTAATTGTTCAGAGTTTGAGATACAGAATTTTAAAATTTAAGAATGACAGACCGACCATTCAAAAGTAAGGAGGAAACACAGAAATAGCACAACTCAAGTATGAGACTAAAGCCCACAGGACTTAAGAACAATACCAACCACTTTCTAAATCCCTTTCTTAATTTGAAACAAAGTGCTTATATCTAAGGCACTTTAGTAATTTATGTGGAAAGGACAGAGAAGGAGCACAAAGGGAAAGAAAAGGCATCTTACACAAAGCTGGTATGATCTTTTTCAGGAGTAAATGGTACTGTGTGCCCATTGGAGAATATTCCACATAATGCTCTGGGCAGGTCCAGTGATAGAAAACTGTTTGTAATTAACTCTGACTTCTGCTCGTTTGTGGCTTTATAATCTTACTTCAGTTTAATAAGAATCTGACCCTACTACCTGTCCTTTATAGTTACCTAATACAGAGTTACAAAAGATATTCTTTGCAGTCTGGAAAAAAAAAAAAAGTAACCTGGATTTTGTTTTCATTCACATGCTGTTCAGGAAGTCCTAGGCATGTCTGAAGGCAACCTGTTCTAGTCCTGAGGTCTTCAGAACCTCCTTGCACAGCACTAAATCAAGGATGAAGGAAAATCACACACTAAGACTAGTGGCTCAGTTACTGCTGTTCGAAGTTTTGGGAGCAAGTACAACGGTCACACCTGCAAGAATATTAGTGATCATGCAAGCCAAGTCTAAAAGATTGGGGGGTGGCGAAGAAAACAATTTCATATTTCCTATTAGCAGGACAGATGTACCAAAGGTCTATAATCACAAAGATCTTTGTTAAATGAATGTTAAAATCTAAGAACGGATCTGCTGGGCAACAGCACCAGGATGAGGGGGAGCAGGTAACAGCATTTGTTCAGGAAAGTAATGGCAGGCTCAGGTATGCAGACATTAGAAAAGTTCAAGAGAACTGTAGATGATAGCAGGCAAGCATTGGGCAAGTTTCAACAACCAAGAAAGCTAATAGTCGGGGATGTGAGGGTGATCTGGCTGCAACATCTGTCACTCCATTGATCACCAGGTGTCCCCTTCCTCCCTCACCCCTCCACATGCATCCCTTCTGAAGCCGCATGCTCAGTTGAAGACGACCGGTTCTCCAGTCAAGGGTATATGAGTAGCTGCTTTCCTCTACTAAAAAAACCTCCATACAACCTCTCAAGAAAGCCAATAGTTGGGGCAGGTAACAAAAAAAATCTTTAAAAGCTTTTGGACAGCAACAGAGAAGTGGAATAGTGAATGAGACACATCTGGGTGTAGAGGGTGTTGTATAAATACACATTTGTAAACCCAAAAGAGAGGCAAATGATGGTTCTCAGGAGAACAAAAGGCGGCTCAAAAATTTCCCGATGACTAGTGTACTTAGAGGTCCACTAGTTCCTGAATACCTTGGAAATCGGTAAGACACTGTTATTACTGACCCCATGTGACCCATGAGAAGAGTTCTGTGGAGGAGATGGCCAGGTTGACCTGTCATTCTGGAATGAAATTAACCCACATCTTAAAACCTGCTAATATTCTGGTCAGTAGTCTGACTTAAGTTATTTTCAAACTTTTGAAAGTGATGTGAAATAACTTAAGGCAGAATCTGATTTACATTTAGGAGTGGAAACAAATTTAAAGACAGTTTTGGAGAGAAAATCTTCAATAACACAGAAAGTGCTAAAGCTAAATTATATCCTTTCTTTGATGAACCAAAGCAGGTTACAAGACATCTTGTTAGGGGACAATGAATATGCAGACATGAAGAATACATGTCTTTCACTTTTTTTTTTTTTTTTTCCATTTCAGCACAACAAAGAAAACTGAGCAAGCAAAAGACCCTTTGGCAAGCAGTGATGACAGTGAAGATGTAGTTTCAGATAAAAAACTTAAGTATTATAAATATTCAAGGTCCAGTGGGCATCACTCTGCAAGGAGACCAATGTCTATCTCCAGAGAATGGCATGGCTACAAAAAGAAGAACCGTACTATTAGTGTAGGAAAAGGCATTAATGCTGATGTGGTGATTCACAAAGATCCCAAGAGAGAAGTGAGGCCCCCTTCTCCATACTGGACAATGGTGAAGCGAGACAACCAAAGCTCTTCCTCATCCACAGCCTCCTCTACCTCAGATGCATTTTGGCTAGAAGACTTTGCCCAAGTTGAAAAGGGCAGGGGTCAACCTGTATCAAAAGTTGCTTAGGCAGCAGTCTGCAAACTGGTGATCACATGAGCATCTAATTTTTGTGCATTGCTATGCACAGGTTTGCTATACTTACAGGAGGAATATGTGCAGACTTACCCATTCTTTCACAAGTGCATTCTGATGCCGTCAGAGACATTCTTCAATGTGATAATCCAAAGACTTCCCTGGGGTCAGACAGGCCTCACCACCTTATTCTCAAAATAGCAACATCATTAACACACTCCCTTCTGAGAAGAACATCTCATCTTTTACAAAATGCGGCAGAGGAACCCAGGACCAGAATGTATGAACATAGAGAGAATTTCAATTTTTAAGGTAAGTGCCACATTTTTAAAAAAAAAAATTTTTTTTTTTCAACGTTTATTTTTGGGACAGAGAGAGACAGAGCATGAACAGGGGAGGGGCAGAGAGAGGGAGACATAGAATCGGAAACAGGCTCCAGGCTCTGAGCCATCAGCCCAGAGCCTGACGCGGGGCTCGAACTCCCGGATCGCGAGATCGTGACCTGGCTGAAGCCGGACGCTTAACCGACTGCGCTACCCAGGCGCCCCAAGTGCCACATTTTAATTTCGACAGTTAGCTTCTCTTGTTTTGCAAACTTCAAATGCCCTACTTAAAATAAGTAAGTAAGTAAAATAAGTAAGAGATATATTTTCTGGCTAGTTGTGCACATAAAGTTCCACCCCCCCTCCCCCCCTTCAGCCCTAAGAAACAGAATGGGAACAGATGAGGAAGAGGGAAAAGATGAGAAACAAAACTCTGTCACACAGTGAAGATAAATCAGACATAAAATGATGCAGTGGGAATATAAGATATGACTAACAGGGAATTTAGATTTTTCAGAAATAACTATACTGCAAGAAAGGCAGTAAAGAAAGGGGGTAAAACTCAGACCATTTAATTGTTTTGACCCAGATTTTTAAACTGGTTTTATCTTTAAAAGCCATCGATAAAAGGAGTGCCTGAGTGGCTCAGCCGGTTAGGCGTCCGACTTCAGCTCAGGTCATGATCTCATGGTTCCTGAGTTCAAGCCCCGCATCGGGCTCTGGGCTGACAGCTCAGAGCCTGGAGCCCGCTTCAGATTCTGTGTCTCCCTCTGTCTGCCCCTCCGCTGCTTGCACTCGGTCTCTTGCATTGTCTCGAAAATACATAAACACTAAAAAAAAATTTTTTTAAGCCATCGATAATAATCTTACTAGTTTCTGAGCTTCTGTACTTTTAGATTCCTGTTCTCCTTTGCAGCATCTAAAACAAAGACCTCAGCATATAATAAATACTTGATTAACTGATGGCCAAGACATGAGAAAAACATTTCAACAGAATGTTTTATTGACTTTAAGTCAGCTGGGAACAATTTATGTATTTATGCTTTAAGACATTTCACCTTATTGGGGGAAAAAAAAAGATGTATGTTTTATTAGAGATTTTTGACTTTCACGTGTTTGCTGCTCTGGGCTGAGAAAATGTTCAGCTCTTTCCTGTTTCAGAATTTACAACTCATCAACGAAAGGTGTGTGCCCCAGATTTCCACTTGCTGCCATTGACTTCCGGCCAGAAACAAACTTCTTTGCAGCCTTGAAGTAAACAAACAAACAAATGACAGAAAAAATTAACAGAAATAAGAAAATGTATTATGCAGTAGATAAACTTATCTATTTTGTTATTTTAAGAGTTTATGGACAGGGCATCCTGAGCCAGCAATTCTGTACTAGCCTCTTGTGAGATTAACTACAGGAGAGGGCTGGTACGTTATTTTAATTTGTGACAATGTAGGAAGCAAAGCTCCGCTGTCCCTTTGAATGTTCCCTCATTACACGTGACTGAGCAAGTGTGGTGCTCCAGACATGAGGGTAGCTGGTAAAAAGGGGGATAGGGAAAACCTCACTGACATTGCAAAATAGGGCAGAGTCGGCCTCAGGCAGGGCAGTACTTTACTGTTTCTGTATTGCGATGGCAAATAGTCTATGAGTCGATAAAAATACACCAACTGTCAACATAAAAGTCAAACTTTTATCTGTTTCCTTTATGCCACTATTTGAAGCAAAAAGGCTGGCCGATGAGGTCAGATGTACTACCGTGAGTAGCAGTCCCCCATGCTGTCTCAGGCACAGGGAGATCATGAAGAGGCAGCTGGGCTGGGACTCCCACAACAACAGTATAGTAAAGGAGAGCCATTTGGAAGGGTATGGAATGATGAACTTCGGGGCGAAGTGAAATCAAGTCAAAGTTACGACCTTAAAGTATCCTGTTTCTTTTTTTTCTGTCCTCATTGTCCCTACATTAAGGTGGAGCTGTTGGGGAGAAGATGGTGGAGACCTCTACAATGCAAGAGGAGTTGACATTTTTCATGTGGAAAAAACTGGGAAAACCCACTGATTGTGGATTTGTTCTGTAGTTCATATATTTGTTAGGCATAGTAGAGAGTACAAAAAGGTATAAGATACGGTCCTGGCCCTTAAAACAATTCAGTCTCACAATAATATATGTGAAAAAAAAAAAAAAAAAAAGCAATAGCAGAATGTCTCCTGCTGAGAAGATGAACAAAAATCCTGAGATCCTGGATCGTGCGGGATTGGCACGACAGTTTATTTCTCGGGAGGAGAACAAACACCGAACTCAACTATTAGGTTGAATCACATGAAATTACCAATAATTCAACTCTTCTTGACCTCTAAGAATTTAAAATGGTTTAACCTATTGGTAATTTAGTTGCATGAGGAAGATACATACACCCCAAGTTGATGAGCCATTTACAGACGTGATGGTAATGAGCCCTCCTACCTCCACACCCGGTGGACAGGCACCAAACAGCAGGACAGTGACATATATAGCCCAAGGGAACTTATGCATTCCTTCTGAAATTGGGTCGAGGTCAAATTGTTTGATGTTAAATCATAAGTTTTCATTTGCTTACATTTACAACATCTGTGTCTGCTACGGAGTCAATCTGCTGAAGGACTGTGGCTGGTGGTGTGTATGAACCAGCAACCAGAGCCTGGGACCCGACTTCATCCAGGAACTCCTCAGAAGACTCCACTGACATTAGGTAGCCAGCTTTCAGCTTGTTCCTGTCCAGTAAAAAATATGTACCTAAGCAGAAGCCAGTCTTATAAGAGCGAGACAATTTTAAACTCAAACTCAAACATGTTTTGGTAAGTACACAAATTAACAGTTTTGAAATCTTACAGTGCTAAACAGCTGCATTCTATTTCTTTAGTTCATCAATTTATGTTATTATTTACATTACTATTTAGAAAGCTGTCAATATAAGATTATACTGAAAACCTAACAGACTGCCTTTTGATTTGAGACTAGAGCTTGTATCTCATTAAGACTATTTTATTTCTTAAAGTAGACTCCATGCCCAATGTAGGGCTGAAACTCATGACCCTGAGATCTGGAGTTGCAGGCTCTACCGAGTGAGCCAGCCAGGCACCCCTCATTAAGACTACTTTATTAAGACTACTTTATTTATTTTTTAAAAGTTTATTTTGAGAGAGAAAGGAGTGCAAGTGGGGGAGGAGCTGAGAGAGAGGGAGAGAGAATCCCAAGCAGACTCCGCATGGTCAGTGCAGAGCTCAATGCAGGGTTCAAACTCACCAACCACGAGATCATGACTTGCTGAAGTCAGACACTTAACTGACTGAGCCACCTGGGGGGCCCCAAGACTAATTTTAATGTGAAGTTTTGATTAGTGAAGTAACTCTTGCCTCCTAATACTTTTCTGGTGATGATTTTAGGCACTTCTATTAAGGGAGAATATCTATGTGGGGTCCTTAAGACACTGTTCACTTAGCAGAATACTGTGTGCTGATTGTCTATCTTCCCCCCGCCCCCCAGGACCATTTCTACACTGAGATTTGTCTCAGTGAGGGTAGGGCATAATTGAGAAGGCAGGTGGGAAAGGTCATTATAGGTCCTACAGTCCTTGCAGCTTAAATATGGGCACAAAGTGTCAATACAAAATAAAACAAAATCCAATTCATAATTCTCTCAAAGAAACTGGTGTTCAATTAAGACAGTTAATTTAACTCTCAAACTATCCTCCTTTGGCACTCAGTACACGACTACCATTTAAACATAATTACAATTTAATGCAGCAGTTTTACCACGTTTTACCACAATGTCAGCTTAATTAAAGATTTTAACAGGGGTGCCTGGATGGCTCAGTTGGTTAAATAAGTGTCCAACATTCAGCTCAGGTCATGATCTCACGGTTCATGGGTTCGAGCTCCACGTCGGGCTCTGTGCTGACAGCTCAGAGCCTGGAGCCTGCTTCAGAGTCTGTGTCTCCCTCTCTCTCTCTCTCCCCCACTCACACTCTGTCTCTCAAAAATAAACAGTAAAAAAAATAAAAAAAAATTAACAAACTGATGGTTACTGAAGGGGAAGTGGGCAGGGGGATGGGTGAAACAGTTGATGGGGATTAAGGAGGGCACTTGTTGAATCACTAAATTATACTCCTGAAACTAACATTATACTGCATGTTAACTGGAGTTTAAATAAAAACTTAAAAAAAATTAGCTACAATAAACTTTACCAAGAGATTATCAGTTTGTCCCTTCAGCAATGCCTTACTTTCTCTCTTTCACTACAGAAAGACTAAGAACCTTACAAGAAAAATATCAACTCTATCAAAATGGCAGAAAACAAACACAATGACATTAAAAACTGAAATTCCCTTTTCTACATGTTGCTGTACCTTATAAAAACTGTGGGGCACTTAAGGAAATACATTTTCTGAAATAAATTAGATTTGAAAACAATTTTTCTTCTGTAAATCCAGTGTTTCAGTTTATTCTCATCATGTTTTGTTTCTAGTACAATCATGTAGAATTGCATCCTATCAATCAATCCCTGGTTCCATGTTTGTAATATTTAATAAACTGTACTTATTCAAGAGATGCAATTTTCTAGTGTTCTCAGTGTAACAGAAATACTACTACTAATGGGAACAAATGACCGAGAAGTTGTTCCCTCCTGGGTTGTAATTTGCCCTGTCATACTTCCTTGGTGGGTCATATTAAATGACCATGAAGACAGTTTGAGTTTTACGAGTCCCATTTTGAACTGTCCTAAATGGGTCGAATCAAATGTTTTAAACTGCTGTATGAAAACACAAGCTGATTTGTTCGAGACTCTCCCTGAAGAATATTGAGGGGTGTTGCTGGCACTTTCAATGGGAATTTAAAAATCACCAAATAGGAGACAGGTATTTCCATCTTTTAATCAGATCCTTCTTTATCCATGGGGCATTAACTTCCAAGACCCCCAGTGGATGCCTAAAACCACAGTACCAAACCCTACATATCCTATGCTTTTCTTATACTTACACACGTATATTTTTTTAGAAGGTGTTTTTTTAAAGTTTGTTTATTTTGAGAGAGTGCGAGTAGAGGAGGGGCAGAGAGAGAAGACAATCCCAAGTAGAGTCTGCTATTAGTGTGGAGCCTGATGTGAGGCTCGAACTCATGAACTGTGAGATCATGACCTGAGCCAAAACCAAGAGTCATACACTTAACCAAATGAGCCACTCAGGTGCCCCTTAATTTAAAAATCAGGCACACTGAGGGATTAACAGTAACTACTAATAAAAGAGAACAATTATAACAATATGCTATAATAAAAGTTATGTGAATATGGTCTGTCCCTCTCATTTAAAAATATTTTATTGTCCTGTACTCTCCTTTCTTCTTGTGATGATGTGAGATGACAAAATGCCTGTGTGATGGGATGAAGTGAGGTGAGTGCCGTAGGTGTTGTGACATAATGTTCAACTACTTGTGATTTTCTGACAATAAGTCAGGAGGGGGATTATCTGGTTCTAGATGGTGGCTGACTGCAGGTAACTGGAAAGCTAAACCACGGATAAGGGGGCACTATTGTATTTTCTGGTCTATCAAATCAGTAAAGAGGTAAAAAAAAAAAAAAGAAATTGCTAATGGTTATGGTAGAATAGGCACTCTCATATACTGATAGTGTGATTATAAACGGGTATGACCTCTTTACATTGTGACTTTGAAATATACAAATAAAAATACTTAAACACACATGTACTTTAACACAGACTTCGGTTATAGTATTTTTAGCTCTTGACCCAGTTGGGAATCCATACCAAGAAAGTAATATGAAATAAAAATGTTTCAAACCCAAAGATATCTTTTATAGTTTATCATTTCCAACTGTAGGAAATGTCCAACAAGTATATTTTGATGCCCCAGTTAATACTGTTTGTAACACATTTTTAGTAATCTGAATGGAAACATTATAACGTTAAGAAAAGGAGGGGGGGGCCTGGGTGGTTCAGTGGGTTAAGCGTCCGACTTCGGCTCAGTTGATCTCACAGTTTGTGAGTTTGAGCCCTGTGTCGGGTTCCGTGCTGACAGCTCAGAGACTGAAGCCTGCTTCGGATTCTGTGTCTCCTCCTCTCTCTACCTCTGCCATGCTCATGCTCTGTCTCTCTCTGTCTCTCAATAATAAATAAACATTAAAAAAATTAAAAAAAAAAAGGAGGAATCACTGGTAAAGAATTGAGAGATCGTTTTCAATGTTTTTGTTTCTTATTTTAAAATTTCTACAATAAACATGCTATTATATAAGTATATATACAATAATAACAATTATGTTTAAAAATGTATAAAAATGGGCAAGAAAATAAGCAAAACATTAATAATTACATCTTTGGGTGGTAGATGTGGGTTGTTTCCCTTTCCTTTTAAATACTTTACCTTTCTTTTGTGCATGTCACAATATTGTTATAACTCAAAAAAATACAACTTTCAAATAACTGAAACACAAAACACACATTTAACATTGAAACTTACTTGGCAGCTAGGACATCTGTATTGGAAAGGTTTCCTTGAGCAATCGTTTTTACTTGGTTATAGGCAGCCTTGATAACCTAGGACAGACAAGAAAAAGCTGGTCATTTTTGATCAGTGCCAAAGTGTCTTGAGCAGTCAAATGTTCCTCTACTGAGGCAGAAACACAAGATGAAACGTTAGTTCCAGGGAACTAGCACAGTGTCTATTTGGAATTCTTGTCACATGTGATCCTCATTCTTCTAGTGTTCCATAAAGCAGCTGTTTGTACAATTTATAGTATAGCCAAGTAGCCAAGCTTCTTAAAAAAGTGGCAGAGTGCAGAGGATGCCAGTGTGGTTCAGGAAAAGCAAACACAGAGATTTATAATTGCCTGTAGAGAATAAACACCTTTCAAATTTCCCTAGACTCTTATTAAAGTGTCATGCAATTAATACTGCTATTCCTTACTATTCACTAAGAAGAAAGTAGTAATCCACGTACAGCTGATCTGTAAAGCCTGTCCATGCCTGGGATGCTGGAGTCAAGAAGGAATCAAGTTCCAGTGATGTGAGTGCATGTTCGGCAAATATTTGTTGGGTAAGTTCATAAACCTGGCCCATGATTTTCTCCATCCTGACCTTGGCACCATTCTGGGTTACTGACCTATCCCTAATCACCTACACTGGGACCTTCATTTCCCCTGT